TTCGATTATTACAAACATCACAAACATATTTCTATGTTTTTTCTCAACTCCAGCACATAGATCATGCACTCATGTCTTAGGTTTTAAGCACTGAATAATGTTTTCTTCACGATCTTTTGCACAAACATTAGAAAACCAATCGCTTTTCCTTTTTTTTTTGGCTTTTTTCTTTTTAATTTCCATTGTTTGTATCTTTCAACTTATCGTTTCTTTTTGTTTTCTGCTCTTGCCATTGAGGCTGCCTCTGGAATACGTAAAGACATAAAAGGGTTATCTTTCATAAATTTATACTATCATTTCTCTGCAATACTTTTTCTTTTTTCTGTGTTAAAACAATGTGGAAATTTATATTTTTCTGAAAATTGAAGTGCCAGTTTTTATAGATCTGCTACAGCAAGCCCAAAGAAACACGATTCTAAAGAACATGTTTAACTAACTCTTTCTTCATATTTCAGTCAGATCTTTAGGCATTCCTAATTTGATTTTCTTATTTAATCCTCGAAGATGACGCCGTAGAGTCGGTTTAGCGATTTTATATTGTCTGTGTGTTTCATTCAATTTAATATCACCACTGTATAATTTGCTTAATAGTAATTAATGGCATTTTAAATATTTTTATAAAATTAAATATAAAACTAAACAAGCAAATATTTATTGTGGCATCGTCACAATGCCGGACTGCAATTTTTAATCATATTTTTAATTTATTTAATTTAAAATAAATGCTCTCTATTTCAAATTAATAGTCTTGCCCCTGTACATCATGTTTTTCCTGTTAGCAATAGAGTCATGTCGGCCATGTGTCTAACTCTTTTCAGGGGAAAGGTTATGAATTGAAATAACGTCACTTTCCGAGTTTTCTCCACGTCTGTAACTCCTAAATAGGGACCAGTTTTTCTTAAAAAGATCTCCCGGATAGCATCTCCCTAAGCAGATCGCCCAAGTATTGCGTTGCCATAACTAAACAAACAAGGACCGTCTTCTCCAAAGATTTTCACATTTGGTTTCCCCTTTCATCTGTCTAACTTTATTCTCGAGATTAATGAAAGACGGACGGACGACAGTGGGGAATTTATAGGTCTAAAGTTTTTCAAATTGCAGCCCAATTAATTTTTATTACTTTTGATGGCTATTTTACGGTATCTTAAACTAAAATCAATTTATTAATTTTCTATAGTTTCCACAATTCTTATTTTTTGTAAAATATATAAATACTTTCATAAAAATCTTATAATAACCAGACATAATTATTTATATAAATTTGTTTACATGACAATAATTTATTTGCCATAAAATGAATGTTTTTAACTGTTTAGTTAAATTATAAAACTAATATTTTATTTTTATTTAGAATTAAAAGAACGTAATTTTATTACAGTATTGAAATGCTTATTACATAGATTCAATTATCGTTCATTATGTAAAATAAAGTATGGAAAATCTAAATTTCTCTTTGTGAATGTAGCAAAAAAATAAAAATAAATAAGTAAAGATAAACACGACTTTATTCTATAAAGTATAGAACAGTTATTTGATAAAGTAAATAATCAATATTTTTTCTTTACAGTGGATAACAGATAATACCAAAATTAATCATCTTACCGTAAAATATTTCCCCAGTTGACGGGAATAATTTTATTTTTACATTAATATCGAACTATCCTCTAAATTATAAGCCATACATAGAATAAAATTCGACTGATGTTCTTCACAAATATATTTTTATGTCAGGTAGTAGCATTTTCAATTTCGATTTCAATTAATTTAGAAATGTGCTTATTCATACGAATATAAAAGATATATATAAACTCTACTTTCATCTAGATAATATTAAAAAAAGTTTAATTATCAAGTAGAAAACTTTTGAATTAAAATACAAAAAATAAAAATAAAGTGTTAGTTTACGTTAATGCTTTTGTAAGAAAACTTTTTATTCTTTATTCTGTTTTTTTTTTTTTTTTTTTATCGCTNTGCTTACTTTGAAAAATATTATTTAATTCAAATAAATAGATTATTTTTATTTAGAATAGGAATTCTGCTATTCAATTGAATGAAGTATAAGAATTATACTAGGCAGAATTCGAGTCTAAATTAATTATTCTTGTATATGAATTTTAAATAAAAATACGAAAAGTTAAATATCAAATTTTTTGTTACTCAATAACTTTAAAATATATCTAAATATTAAAATAAATAATATTGGTTTAATTTAGATATACGTTTAGAATTTAACCAAAATAATTGAATTTATTGCTAAAAAGTTACAAAATTTCTTTAATTAATATATTGGGAAGACTGAACCTTATTCAGTTTATTAATTAAAAAAAACTGAATAATATTCAGTCCTTAATGGAATTTACTTTATTAATAAAATCTAGAAACGAGTTGCGTAATTTTCTCGGCGAGAGTTAAAATTGTTTGTGGCACCATCTGTTATGAAATTTTATTAAAATATTTTTTATATTATTAATTATTATAAAATGACAAAAAGCTTAATTTTGATGACTTATAAAAAATTTTAAATGCCAATAACGAGTACAATCTTCATTAATTAAGTCCGACATCAATCGAGATTGAATAGTAATTTATTGATAGATTATATATTATTAATAAAGGCAATAGTGAATTTTCCATCTTATAAAATTATGGTTTTATTAAAATTTCTAAAAGTTTATAAATAAATATTAAAATTAAATATCTAGAAAGTTATCACGATAATTTAGTATACAGATATAAATTTAATATTTAAACATCTTTTATTTATATCAAGTATATTAATTATTAAGAATGACAGAATAATAACCTAACTGATGCTCCACGATGTTTGTTAACAGAGAAAAAGGTAAAGTTGGAATAAATATTTGATTATAAAGGAATTATTAGGAGATAATATAAAATATAATAAGAAATAAATCTTGATAAAAATATTTTCGTTCTTGGAGATAAATTCTGCATGAAATTGCATTATCATTCCGTAATGGCGTTTTATCTCGGAGATTAGTAATCTTGTGAGTATGGAAATGGTGTTTACTGGAGGAAAAGATATTTATTTGTAACATTTATAACATGTCATATGAATTTGGATATATTTCGGACCTAAATTAAAGTGCATCGAAGCACAATTTAAACAAGACAAAATTTTATAAAAGACTGTACGCCACATTGCTAATATTATTCTGTTCTCTAATAATGTTTAAATATCATTCTGGTACGTGAATTATTTCTAGAATAGTAAATTAAAAATTCCTTATTTAGATGTCATTATCAAGGAGCATCGAGATCAGATCTGCGCAAAGAATTTTTTAGATTTATGTAAAAAGACTTGTATACACATTTTTCGTTAAGGAATAACATAATTTCCTTCTGAGTCTTCGGAATACTTTTATCCTTATAAATAAATCTACAAATTCTGATTCTTAAATTTTTGTTGTGATGAAAAAAGGCATTATCCGTCAACATCCTGCAATTATGATCTACAGCTGAGAAATGCTACGCCTATTATTTCAAGATTGTAAAAGTTACTATTTTATTATATGATCTGTAATTTTCGAAATGATCTAGAACTAGGCTTTTAATAAGATGGAATCATGTAGAAAATACCAATCCGTTTTAATTAGTAAAAATTAGTTCATATATATTTATTGCAATGTTTGCTATTAAATTTGCTATTACTTTCTGATATATTTGTTATTAAGTTTTTGTATACTTAAATGCTTATTTATTATGAATTTAAAAATATGTGACAGTGTACAATAATATATCTAAAAAAATATAATTTATTTACTTTACAGGAAGTCTTTACATATGTTTTATTGTAAAACACTTGCAGAGATATTTATTTTAATCTCCATAACTAGGTGAAATGAATTTTATTAATGAAAGAGAAAGAAATTGTAGTCTTTAAACGTTTTTTAAAAAAGCTTGCACTATTATTTCCATTTTAATTTAAGATGAACTTTTATATACTGTATTTTAATAACAATTAACTCTAGTGAATTTTTTAACAATTATAATTTTAGTTACATAACGATATCAACTCTTAAAATTTCTATAGATCTATATATATATTTTCAATAAAAGTTTTATTACTTATAACGGTATAATGAAAAGTAAAATATTTAAAGGAATATATAATGGAAATAAATAGGATATTTTTGTCTGTGGAAATTCCCTCGCAATTAAAATACTGTATATTTTATAAGAAACCTTGAATAAGATAGGAAAACCCGGTGAATTTTTACCAAAAAATATCTTCTTAACATCTTTGTAAATCGATTTTATAATTTATTCATTTCACTAAAAGTAACTATTTGAAATTTTAATATTCGAATTTTATTTATATAATGGATTAGTTAACACTGAATAGAAAAATATAATTGTTTTTATTACTTGAATTAATGATTATTTTTAGACAATGTTCATTATACTTTGACTTTATATAATTTTTTAAATCTCTTTGCTTTTTGTTGTCTTTTATAACTTAAATTAGAAAATATAATAAAAAATGCATTATATTAAAGTTATTTGTTTCGAAAAATATTTGAATAATAATATAATACGCATAGACTTTTGTATTTAAATTTACTTTAAAAATTTACATTCTAACAATATTATAAGATAAAACAACCAAATTACCAATGAAAGAAATGAAATGTTTAGGACTATAAAGTTAATAATAAAGGAAAAAATTAAAAAAAAAAAACATAAAAACAAGGTGCCATTTCTTATTAAATATCTCACTATTAATAAAATTTTATATTTTTAATATACAGTATTGATAATAACGTTTATCTTTAATTAATAATTGATTTTTCATATTCTGAATTTGTTTCCTTCATATTCTTACGTATATTAAAATATTAATTTTTTTATTTAATTAAAATTTTTAAAGAAAAATATCAAATTAATGAAAAAATTTGTTTTATTAATTTATAAATATATAAAATAATGTACAAAATTTATTAATTTATTTACAAACATAATTAAAATTTCGTACTAACAAATTCCTCTTCATTCGATTTTGATGAATAAATCTGTAGCTTGAATCGGCATCTGAAATGGAAAAACATTAATAAGAAAACAATCATGTTAAACATTTTTAAACTTTGTTCCTAATCTGAGAAATTTGAAAATGTATGGGATATGGAATAATTAATTAAATAACGACAAACATCTTTAAATTTTCAAAAACTTTAAATGCTTTTGTGGAGTTTATACATTGACGTACTTTCGTTGTGAAATAATTGTTTAAATGTATGATAAATGCTCGAAGAAGTATTTATTTTGATATAATATATAAGTTTTTTTTTTTTTTATCTTGCATTATTTTATTTTAAATATTCAATTTTTGTGAAATGGAAACTACGAGAAAATATTTTTTATTGTTATATAATTATATATAACAGAAATTATAATTTACTTGATGATATTTTGAAATCTATTTACTAATATTTTAAACTTTATATTTTAAAAAAGTGTAACATAATTATTTAATATTTATTTCAAAGATCTTATTATTTTAATTTTCAATGTATTGCTAATTGATTTTATCATTTTTAAATTGTGTAAAAAATAAAACATATTCTCAGCTCTAATATTTATTGCATAAAAATAGTGACAGCATAAACATTATGCTGTTATTATTTTCCTTTATTTCTATCAAAAATATAAGAAATTTCATTGGATATACTTTATATTTTTAAAAGAATTTAAGCGAATAAATGTTAAATATATATGTAAAGGTAATAAATCAATAAATAATTTAATTACAAATTACAGTGAAACCTGTTAATATGACCACTTGTATAAGGTGACCACTTTTCTTAAACAAGTTAATTAATTTAAATATATTCTAGATTTAATACTATTCTAGTTTTCAAATAAAAATATATTTATTTATATTTTTCTTTAAAACTAGACTAGCTATAAATATATAATACAATTCTTTAGTTTCTATTTATCGATTATCTTCAAAAAGTTAAAAGTATAGATTAAAATTTAAATTAAATTTATTTTTATTTATAATAACAATTTTAATTATTGATATTATATTTATATTATTTTAAATAATGAAAACTTATTTATTTTAAATTTGAGTTCAAAATCTAAAGTTAAACTTTCTAAAAAGTCGATTTTTATTTGATATAGAAACGTAATATCTTCTCAGTCGGAAGTACGATTGAAGCAGAAGAAAGTGAGAATATGGAATGAAAAATCGGAATGTAAATTTTTCCATTTTAAAAATAAAGTCCTATATTATTTTTTTACTAGACGTTGCGTATGTAATATACAGTATTTGTTTAGTGGTTATTTAATAAACCTATTTAACTTATAAACTTAAATGAAGTATGTCAAATATAAATATTCTTTCTTTAAGTTAATACACGTGTATGACCTTTTATTTTATCAATAAGTTTTAAATCACTATACAAAGTTAATTAATTTATAATTATTTATACAATTAAGAAATTAAATTAAATACTTATATCAAGTAATTATTTGCCAAAAGCACATCGAAGAAACTTTAATGAATTTGTATTTCAGATAATTCTTAAATGTAGCGTAAATTTTGGATATTGTATTCAATAGAAAACGAGGAATATTAATTCTTAAAATGAATAATTCTGAAGCAAAATACTCTCTTAATTTATATTTAATTCATTTAAGTAATGTAAAAACTCATGTAAATTACAAAGAATAATTTGTTTCGGCTTTTACAACTAATTGTATTTTTTCATGTTAGAAAATTAGAGAAAATGGAACACTTTTCCTAGAGCTAGTGATAGAAAGATCGATTCTAGAGAGGTGAATCGCTTGTCTCTAGATCTTCGATGATGATGGTAGAATTTTAAGACTGACATACTTTATCTTAGAAGCGTTGGTAATAGCATGATGTGAAGCCATAAGGTGATGACGTCAAGATGGAAGTCACTTTGCACGATTTGCAATAAAATCCGTCCGTTATAATCATGAATTATATTACTTTACGTTTATATTTATATACATCTATATATATAGTAATACTTTTGTGAAATCAAAAATGAATTTTAAAATACTTTACTAGTTTTTCCCCATTTTAGTTTAGATTTCTTATCAAATCTATGGTTAAAATTTCATTTAGTACAGTTTATTTTTCCAGAAATGTAGTTAGAAATAATCATTTTATAAATATCGATATCTAATTATTTTTATCATTCTGTTATTAGTATTATTATATTTGTTGTTATTAAAAAACCTGTAAGAAAAGGACTCTATTTATGAAATGATCTTGATTTATCAATTTACTAAACTTGGTAATTTCTAGTACTTAAATTAAGATTAGTTTGTCCTACATATAAATTTATAGGCCTATTTAAAATTTCTTTCATTAGTTTCTATAGAATATTTTTCAAATTCTTATAATAAATTCATTAGTTTTTCATGTAAAATAAAAATTTGTGTGCACAGTTTAATCACAAGTAAATTTTATCTTTTTTTATAAATTATTTGAAAATATAAATATAACTATTATAAAAATATAGTTAAAATTTTTTATTACCTGGATATGCAGTTTTTCCAAAGAGGTTTTATATTTACATGAAATAAGCAAAAAATAATGAAACCCTAAAAATAAATAACATAAATGTAAATATATCATTAAAATAAGTAATTAAAATCTCAAATTTTTTAAGTGAGATGAAAAATATTCAAATTAAAAATGAAATATGATTATAATTATATGATTTTACATATTTAGTAATATAATAAGCCAATATTTTCCGTAATTTAGATTATTTAATCAGTATAAATATATGAAAGTAAAAATTTTAATTTTCGATAAAATTACAGAAAATTCTCCAAAATTTTTCATTAGTAAAGTATTTTCTTTTTATTTAGAAACATAATTTTTCATAAATTTTAAACTATTAAAATTTATTTATAAAAATGTAAATTAAGTTATGTCAAAATTATTATTCATTGTTCAAACTGGATTATATTCGCTTATATCTTTAATCTTCTAGCAAGAATTTATAATCGTTGATTTATTATAAGCTAGTAAATATGTTTTTGTTGTCGAATTTTAATAATTTTCCTACCCTTTATTAGTTATTGCTTTTTATTGCCTTTAGAGATTTACAACTAAACTATTATAATTTTATTTATTTGGATAACTATGATTTTTTATTTAAATAAATCTCTAGATACTCACGCTTCAGAATGTTACAAAAGTACTGTACATAGTGTATTATTGCTTACTTTGAAAAATATTATTTAATTCAAATAAATAGATTATTTTTATTTAGAATAGGAATTCTGCTATTCAATTGAATGAAGTATAAGAATTATACTAGGCAGAATTCGAGTCTAAATTAATTATTCTTGTATATGAATTTTAAATAAAAATACGAAAAGTTAAATATCAAATTTTTTGTTACTCAATAACTTTAAAATATATCTAAATATTAAAATAAATAATATTGGTTTAATTTAGATATACGTTTAGAATTTAACCAAAATAATTGAATTTATTGCTAAAAAGTTACAAAATTTCTTTAATTAATATATTGGGAAGACTGAACCTTATTCAGTTTATTAATTAAAAAAAACTGAATAATATTCAGTCCTTAATGGAATTTACTTTATTAATAAAATCTAGAAACGAGTTGCGTAATTTTCTCGGCGAGAGTTAAAATTGTTTGTGGCACCATCTGTTATGAAATTTTATTAAAATATTTTTTATATTATTAATTATTATAAAATGACAAAAAGCTTAATTTTGATGACTTATAAAAAATTTTAAATGCCAATAACGAGTACAATCTTCATTAATTAAGTCCGACATCAATCGAGATATGACTCATGGCATCCCTCTATCTTTCAACCTCCTCGACCTTTTACCAGTAAAATTTAATAGGATCAATCCTCGTAATACACAAACCTTACAGCAAAATATCAGAAATTTTCGACAAAAGTCACAGGAGATTAAAGTGGGTGAATAAAATCGTACTACATCCCCATAAACTAACATCTAAACATACAGAAAAAAAAACACCAATTATTTTACATTTCTCGGCGTTTCGAAGTCCCTTGAGCTCAAAAATATAAAAATATTGGGAGGCGAGAGGTAATTTTTTTAACCGATTTCCGTACTTTCTCCCTGTTATTTATAACAGCCGGTAAAGTAAAAAATAACATTTTATATCGATATTTTAATAGAATATTTTCAGTCATTAAACAATTTTGTTTCAATAAACTAATTTTATTTAATTAAATACTAATAAATAATAAGTATATACTGTATTTTTTATATTTTTCATTATATTTATTACCGGTATCTATGGAAAATTTAGGATATTTTATTTGTATTTTACAATTTATGAAAAATGTTTCCAAATTACATTTTAATAATTTAAAAACACTTAAAAATTATAAACAAGTATATTTCAATTAGTAATTTAGAACTATTTAAAATATAATTACTTTTATATAATATATCTGATATATGACGCTTTATAAATGTACAGTACATTTTGAATCGGATAAGCTGAAATGAAATGGGTCACGCAATGCTTCTAGCGTCACATTTTTAAGTTTTATTTTCTATACATGCCACCGATTCGTTGAAATTTCTAGAAGTTAAGGAAGAAAGTACTTAGCCAAACTGTCATCACTTTTGTCGAAAACACCATTTCGTGTCTGTACATGAGCGACGACACGTGAATAATTCCTAAGTTATCGTCAGCACTAGCAATAAATTGAAATATTACACTCATTATAAATGAAAATACAAATCAGTTATCAGTTAGGCAAAGTAGAGGGACTTTTGACGATGTTACACTTTGGTACGCCTAATGTGGCAGTAGTTAATAATTAAATTCCCCCCTACTTCATTTCATGTGGATGATTTGGATTACTTTATATGGGGGTGAAATGGATCATTATTACAATATTTATATGTATCCACAGAAGCTACATTAACACAATAATAGAAATAATAATCATCTATTATCACGTTCTTTTCATTCTAATTTGTCATTATGAACTGTAAATGAATTAGGACAGTTTTTTTTATTTAAAAATAGCTTTTTTTTTATTATTATTTTGCTTACGGTGACGCGACACGTGGACGATCTACCAAGGGAGGAGATGCCTCTTGGGACGACTTTCTATAAGAAATTGGCCTCTATTTAGGCGTTACAAACAAGAATAAAACCCGGAAAACTCTATCTGGCTAGCCCGTTGGCGAAGTGAGAACCCATGACCAACTACCAGTGTTCAGTGATATTATCCACTCGGCTACTGGTGGACATTTATTCAAGAACACAGACTTCTAATATTATGGATTTAATACAATTGGATACGTGGCTGATCTCAAATTATAGCCATTTCGGTCAAGGTCTCCATACTAGGATTCGGCCAAGTAGTCAGTAACAGTAACTATACAGGAAGTAGAGGATATTGGTTCCTCAGAAGGCTAAATGGAGCTAAGATTTTTCAGAAATAATAAAACCAAAGTAAAATTTTTTGGAACCAGTCCAGAGAAACAAGAATCCTAAGACCGCTTAGTTACGCTATGATGGTAAGGAACAGAGCTCTTATTTTTATTTTTAGCTCTTTCTACTTTGTGTGTACTAAGAGGATCTTTTTTCCATATTCACCATGTAAAAATGTTCTTAAATTTTTCTATTTTAAACTATTTTAATGCAGTGAGCTTGTTTTGTCGTGTTTGTGTTTAATTCGATTATCAGAATTAAAAAGCGACAAATCCATTTCATCCATACACTGGAGTGAAACGGATCGTTTGCCAATATACTTTGAAATGTCAATATTACAATTCACAATAAACTAAAGTGTTTGCAAATTATGGTTTTTCAATCACTAGTTGTGATATTTTTTTACATTGAAGTTAATTGAATTTTCTGTTATAGTTTATTTTAAACGAGTGATTTTGCTGAATCTGATCTACTTTACCCCAACTTACTATATAAGTTTTAGATAATCATAATACTATTCTAATTAATTCAATTAAGTATATAAATGTAGATATTATTTAAGTATTATTTTATTTAAATAAAGTGATATTTAACAATACAAAATTATTAATGTAAATTTTATGTATTGATTTTTAAAATTTACTGCACTTAGAATTATGAATTAATAATACTGTATGTCTGTTCATTTCGAAAATATAATTAATAATAATACGTTACAATTTTTTAAAATTTGAATTATGATTAGATGGTTCAATTCTACATGACATCTAACATAATTCACGTCATACTCTGACAGAATAAATAAATATTACGAAATGCCCAAGAAAAGTCTTTCTTTTTAGTTAATAAAATATTTTTCTAGATATAACAGAAGTTATGGAGTTTTCTTCTTCGCTAACACAGTAAATACCATATTTCATTGTTAAGTCTTAACCAGTGGAAGAGATGCTTGATTATATCTATTCCACTAACATAACAAATAAGCTAGTTGATATTTGAAACATTTCTTCAAGCATTAAACATTTATATTTCGTTTTTCTATTTTTTTTGCTTTCATGTTGCTTCTAATCTTTCATTGATATAAAAGTAACAAGAATACATTAAAAATAAACATTTGAAAAATAAATATTAGTTTTTTTAATATATAATCTATCCGTTTATGAATTTGTTTGTTTGTATACGGCAACGCAATAAGTGGGTGATCTGCCTCGCGGGAGGACTTTCTATGAGAAACTGGTCCCTATGTAGGTGTTACGAACGTGAAGAAAACCCGGAAAAGTCTACGTGAAGGGCCCATTGACTAGGCGCGAACCCACGACCATTGTTCAATGGTTTTATCTACTCGGCCACTAGGTATCGCTTTTATGACTTACAATTAGAAGAAATAAGGGGTTACGTTTTGAATTTTTCTATTGAAATATGTTCTGCTTTATTTAAGATGTGATTGTTTTACGTTATATGACAAAAGCTGATATAAACTTAACTGATGTTTATAAATATTTTGAATTACAGTGTATCATTTTTTAGATTTATTGTATTTAAATTTCTTTTTTAGAGTTTTATAAAGCAGTTGCTAGTCAAAAATTAGAGTATCATTTATGCTAATATATTTTAATAAGTTATCTATAAACGTTCCTATGAAAATATAAATTACTTTTCAAGAATAACTATTAAATTCTTCAAGATTAATTTTTTGAGAATCGAAAGTTGGAAAATATCAACAGACAGAACTGAGAACTAACAATGGAAAGACAAATTATACAAAAGTACTGGGTATCAAATAAATTTCAAGTCTTATGGGGGTTTGTAAATGAAACATGATACTGGTATATTTATATTGGGCAAATAAGTCAATAAAATTTTCCAGTTCCGCTGAAAGATTTCCTGTAGCTATTTAAATTATACCTTACTTTTGGTCACAAGAAAAATATCCAGTATCCTAAATTAATTTGAAATTTCCTATATAAGTTGTAAATTTGCATAAAGTTCAGTAATTCCTTTAAAATATTAATTAATTAATATAGTTGAAAGAATTAATAAAATTATATTAGAAGAACGAAAGCAAAAAGTTCCATTTATACGAAAATATGATTTTATCACTGAATATATAAATATTCTAATTTAGCGTTAAAAAATCAGTTTCTTTCACTGAAAATTTTATTTATGACTAAGTGTTTTACATAATAAATAATAATGTTTTATTATAATTAAAATTCTTTTTTTTTCTCCTCCATTCATCAATGCCTTAAAAACAACAAAAAACTAAAATAATATCCTAAAAGGAAATTCACGTGTAACTGAAATTACGATTCTCAGAATTATTTTATAAAATATATTTGTAAGGATTTTGCCTTCAGATTATGTATGTTTCTTTCATTAACTTTTAAAATCATCAACAGATCAAAACAATGTTGTAAATCTATAGCAATCTATAACACCATTTTTAAATTTTATTACAAATTATCGGCATCAATTCATTAATTATAAAAGTAAACATAGCAAAGAATTTGTAAATTTCGTATAATATTTATGTATTAAAATATTTTTAAAAATATTTCTCTTAAACAATGTTTAGATTCCACAAGAAGTACGCTAATAAAGCTTTTTCTATACATTCTTTGGTAATCAATGAAAGTGAAATAGAATTTATGAAAAATGAAATATTTCAATAACAAAAAACTTACTTGGCCATAAATCTGTAAAGCATCTAAAAACTGCAAAATCACGTATACGCCGCATTCTTTGTCTCCGATTAATTTCCATATAGAAGAAAGCAAATTCTTTACAAAAAGAAAAAAATAATATATTAGTTTTACATATCCATAATTTTCTCAGAAGAACTAGTAAAAGGTAGCTGATATAATAAACGACTTACTGTTGTCATGGCAACTGTTTGGAATACAATTAATAAAATATATCTATTATATTCTTCATCGTGATTCTGAAAGTCCTCGTGTTGTCCTTCCTCCGAAATTTTGCGCCTGTGAAATCCAAAATTAAATTTAAATGGAAATCTTTTGATGTAATTCTCCAGAGAATAAGTTACTTCATAACATTTAAAATGATTTAGAATACAGGTTTTTCTATTTTTTAATGCAATTCATATGATAAAAATTGATCGAAACGAAAGCTAAAAATAAAACTAGCGATCAGTACGAAATTAAAATTAATATTTATAAATACATTTCAAAAATCCTTTAAAATGACATTTAAAAACTATTTAAATGAAAGAATAACTGTTAAATAACGCACACGTTTTATAAATTGTAACAAATCAATTTTTTTTCAACAAAGAGGCCTTTTTAATCGTGCCCATCGTGGGTTCGTCCAGGCCTACAATGGGGAGAACGAATAGTGAGGGATAGGTCTGACATATCTAGGGCAGATCACCCCAAAAAATTCCTGGAGTTGATCGTCAGGATCAGATCTCGGGTCAGCTAGAGCAGCGGTCCCAACCTTTTTATCGCCACGGACCAGTCAACGTTTGATATTTTACCGCGGCCCACTGAGGGGGGACGTTGATTGTTTATATTTTAGATTGATTTAATTTAATAATTTTAATTTTAATTTTTTTAATTTTAATTTAAACATGCCTTCAAAATAAAATATAGTTACAACAAAAAATTAATATAATGTGATCTAACATTTTAACTCACTAGAACGTTAAATCAATGAGAACCCTGAGCTTGTTTCTTTGCAACAAGACGGTTCCATCTGGAGTTAATAGGAGACAATGACACCCGAAATGTGTTTCTTATGTCCAGTTTATTCCATTGTTCCGTCGTCCATTAATTAAAAGTCGCATAAACCCGAGAGAAATACACCATAGTAAATAAAATGGAAATACCAGTAATTTAATGTTCCTTGGGCGGCCCGGTACCATTTTATCCACGGACCGGTACAGGTCCGCGGCCCGGGGGTTGGGGACCACTGAGTTAGAGCAGTAGCCTGACATCTTAACCACCTTGGCCATCCGGTTGTCTTAATTACATTTATAATACAATACTAAAATAAAGTCACGAATTTAAGCTTATAAAAATTAGAAATTAATTTAACATTACATGTACTGTGCAGTACTGTACATAAATATTAAAAGTTCAATTCAACAATTCTATTTGTCATACTAGACATATTTTATCATGCAAATTTTTGAAAGAACTAACTTCGGAAATTAATCTCACCTACATTTAATTTACTATCTATAATCTATAATATATCATAAATTAACTATAATAATTAATAAATTAATAAAATTATTATTATTAATTTTTCTTTATATTATAAAATTACTTTAATAACTTTAATGAATAAATGTTTACTAATTATTATTTTTAAAAAAATATTATATTTTACCTTTGTATATTTCCAATTTGAGAAAAGTTACATTTTGTTATTTCTACATTTTTCCATTCTAATGCCAGACATACTAGATTTCGTATTAAAAAATACAAAAAAAGTTAACACAGTAATATATAAAAATTAATGAAATGAAAATATTAATATAAATAAATAACATTTATTTAGTTTTACAGTATTTTAAAATTAATACTGAACATTTCAGAGCTTACTCATATAATATAATTTTCACATCATACTAACTGTTGTATAAATAAAGTTTTGATGTTAAGCATGCACTCGAAAAACAAAATAAAGTCACATACAAGAAAATAAATTTGATTTCAGACGAGATATGAGAACTAACTACTGGCGAGGATGGCTTATGTATTACTAATTATGCTATGGAGACGCCCATCGTGTCTTTACATAGAACTAGTCAACTTTATAGGACAGTGAATATTAATAATGTATTATATTTATGAAAAATTGAGTAGATATCTTGATATTCTAATAATCATTCATCTATTGTATGTTATTATTAATTACTCTCAGAGAAAAGTTAAATATTTTCCCAGAAGAAAGAATGAATGAACTCTAATAAGTAGTTGTTAATGGACATGCTTCAGAAGGGCGTAGACTTTAATTTGTATAAGTTAAAGGTATTTATAACTTTTATGAGCATTTAAAAAATACTTATAAATTTATTTTAATAAAAATATTTAGAATTTTTTTCATTTTTCCTATCTTTATTATAAAATAATTAATTATAAGATTGAATACATAAAATTTTAATAACTATCTCACTTTAAAGTGATAAATTAATTAAAACTATATTTTTTATTACATTAATTGTTAAATAAATAAAAATTACTTTTTAATGACTTAACACAACGTAGAATCAAAGTAATTATTGAAAAACATTTCTGTTTTAATGGTATATTTCTATTTTAAATTTATTTTTATAAATTTTAATCATAATCACATAGCAGCTTAATATATCGAAACTTAATTACTGTATTAAAATTTTAATATTTACGAAGATATTAAAATCTCTGTTACACCTCTTCGGTATTTATGATATATATAACTAATACATGTTATTAAAAGTGTAATTTAAATCTATTTATTAGTAATAATTTAAATAAATCTTGCCTGGTAAAGCATTGATTAATACTGATTTCTGCAATTGTTCTTCGACATTAAGAGACGGTTTGGATTCCGATTTCTCTTGTTGTGAAGATCGAGTTTTAAGACAAGAAGAAGAAGAATGTGTATGAACGTTGGTATCAGAATTCAAAGAGTTTTCTTTCTTTATCCAAAGCGGTAGTTTAGGAATCGAATGACGACAATAGCCTAGTAAGCCAGAAACTGTCAGAAGTAAACTTATAACAGTAATTACCACGATGGTTCCCTAAAACACATGATTTCTTCTTAATTTCTTAATTATTATGAACTCTAAATGTAAAAACTGAATAACTTACTTGAATATAACTAGATATTACTTGATTTGTTTGATTAATTTCATTTCTATTGGAATTCATTAAAGCTAAACTTGTTACAATAACTCCAGGTACACTAGAAATTATATAAATATTAAATATATTTGTAAGAAATTTTATATTAGGTAATAGATTTGTACTGATATAAATTTAATATAAACTGGAGAAGACCTTAATATGTCAGAGAAATTATGAATTATTATTCTGTATATTTGAATTTTATAATTAATCAT